TTGTTTGTAACTGAAAGGATCAATGCCTGAGGGCATGGCTACCCCATTCCCCATGACGTGCTTAGTTCACATTACATGCCTATACCAAAACATCTCATGTACCCCATACATATATACACCTAGTATGTACCACAAATATTTTAAATAGTTTTTAAAATAAAAAATAAATTGTATGGGAAAGAAAATTATGAATTTAGAAATGTAAAAGGTCTCAGGTAAGGAAGGCATGAGAGGATCAGGCAGAACCTTCCATCATTGCTGGGACGAGAAGAGAAGCCCTACCTTTTCCCAACACCCTATCCACTCCACCTGTCCCTCACCTCTCAGCTTATGTGAGACTCTATCTGTGCTATGAAACTGAAGATCTAATTCAGTGCTGTTTGCATTGTCTTGCCTCCTGGACCAGAGTTTGCAGTTGTTGAGAAAAGAGATGGTTGGTTATGTCTTGATCCCCCGCCCCCGCCTCCCCTTGAGCATTTGGGGCACAGGACACAGGAACTGGCCAGCCTGGTTCACTCTTCTAGATGAGCTGGGCAGTGGCATGTCATGTGGGTAATAGGAAGGGGTGGGGACTTCCCCGGGATATTCTGCTCCTGATCAGAAGCTCCAGTGGTGTCGGGGGAGTATGCTGGGAGGGTGTGCAGGGTGGGGCAGGTGCCCGTTTGGCCTCTGCTATCTATCTGGGGAATGCATCCAAAGGCAACTGTTCCTTATCTGCTCTTGTTGGGAGCAAGGAAGGGCCAATTTGTTCAATGATCTGTACAAAGCCAGTCCCTCTGGCCAGAGTTGCTTCACTCTATATAGAGATTGTATCTTGGTTAGCTCTTCATTCATGGCAAGACCAGTGTTTCTCTAAATTAATGCCAGGTATTGTTTAAAAGCAACTAAAAATGACGAAATTGTGAAACTTTGAAACTCCCTGAATGTAATGACAAGGAAACTAACATTGTTATATTGGTTGATGCTCCTGGCCAGAAGAGAGAATATTAGCAGGGATAAAAGGGATAGGCTACACGCATTTTCCACCCCAGTGCTGAGAACACGATGGGGGAAAAAGGGAGGTGGCCACAGCCCACACAGTCTCTGCCAAGCTACTTTCTTTTTTTTTTTTTTGAGACAGAGTCTTGCTCTGTCACCCAG